TCGCCTAGGATCGGTTGATCCATCATGTTTCTGTATGCACCTTATTATTGATGATGGGGGTGTGAATAGTGGGTGAAACCTTAAAACTCTTCGACACCTCTCTGGACTGGACTCTGTCGCCTTGCACAGGTTTGAAATCGACGTGACACGTCACGAGGTAAAATTTGTGGTAATATTTTTGCGGAATGTTTGCAAGGTCAAACAAGTAACCTCCGTGGCAGTTTATCAATCACCTGGCACTCACGAAATGCACCTCTCTCTTTTGCTGCAGTTTGACGTGTGTTCGTCTAGCGTCACGCATATGTGACGCGCATTCTTCCCACTAAATTTTCTCCAGAACCTTTTGTAGCGCCCTTCAGCACGTCCATCCAAACTAATTGACTTAATAAACAAAGCGTGATAGTTCTAATCAGACGAGATGCGAAGAATAGTGAAAGTGGAGTGCTAGTGACGAAAAAATGAAGGTAGGCGGCGTTGAATCTGCCAAATTGAAGACTGCAAGTAGTGTGCATTTCACTGTAGGATGTCCCCGAGGTATGTGCCTCTTTTATGGACCAAATGAAAGGTAGTGGACAGAATAGACGGTTCTACAAGGTGTTGAGGATCTTCTCAAAGTCTGCCGTCTTCTTCCCATTCCACCTATCTCTGTCAATGGTGATACGTATGCTGCCGTCATATCATCACCACCACCACTGATGTAGCACAGCACCTTGACCAGTTCCGTACTCAACTCTTTTTACTGGTTCATCGCACCCCATTTTTTGCCTCAAATGCTCCTACCCTGGAAAATTGCGTCTTGTCCCCTAGTCCTGCACTACCCCCTTCCCAGTGAATTAAAACAAACACGTCTCTTGCATTCCTTTTAATTGAATAATTTTAGGTCAGTTCTTTGCTGGTAGAAACGTCGCAACGACCGCACACGAAGAAAGTGTCGTCCAGAGAAAAGGCGGTCTACCGCTGCTCAATGGCGATTTGGTAGAGCGGTGTGTTTTGTACAGCGGAGCGGCTCACCAGAATCCATCGTCCTCAGTGTTGTATGGCGATGGTGAACGGCCCATCACCGCCAATGTCAAATCCCAGCTCCATCTGTTGCCTCGCCAAGAGCCTGTGTCGTCGGTTGATTGCTTTGCCTGCACGGCAGCAACAACGACAATACCAAAGTCACCTCTTGTCATCTACATTCAGCATGCTGTGTGGGTATCACTGCAGCAAATTGCTTCCACCACGGATGTCTAAATGGTCAGTTTTACCTCCGGCGGCATGATGTCTTAATACACCTAATCTGCCACCTCTGCTAATCTTGATCGCTGGCCTTGTCTCGCATCTGGGTGCACATTCAATTAAGCTATCGTCTTGGCAGATCCCTTCATTGTATTCTGCGCTCTGCAGTTGTGCGTCATGGTAACACTCTGTGCTTGGGTTACTATGTGGCCTACTGGTACTAGATCGAGGACGGTGTTGAAGGCGCCATTGCAATTGAGTGGATCCTCAGCTCCGACTGATACGTCGACCTGGTCCTCTTTTCCAGTGTTCAGGATTGCTAGGTGCGGGAATTGTTTGGCTAAGACAGGAGGAGCATTAAATCCCAGCATTATGTCCTTTACCTTTTATCCTTACTACAGGCCTATATACTCTTCTATGAGCCGTTGGCGGAGATATTCCTGATGCAACGCACTCCTCCACATCCGCTGAATCCAAGACTGACGCGGAAGGGACGGACGACGAGGAGGATGAGTTTCCAGAAAAGGGGACTAAGCTAAAGTGAAGTTGCATCGTCAGTGCGGAGCATTAGTGCTCTCGTGGAGATGGTTTGGGGGGGGGGGGGGAATCGTCTCATATCAGTGCCTTTTAACATTCCTATATTTTTCTTCCATGTATTTCACTCTAC